GCGTCGTGCGATACCTTATCACAAACAAGGAGCGAATAGATGCTTCACTTCACAAAAGAAGAAGGCGGGAGCGGTTGGCTGCTACGGTTCGCGACTGGACTCTTCGCTTCACTGGAGGGAGTGGGCTGAGGAGGGATCGTGAACTAGATATTGCGACCTTCCGTGATCGGAAGGGCGAGAGCGGGAGGGGGGTTGGACTGGGGTCCAACCTAATAAATCTCCACTTGGAGACCGGTGCATATGCTACAACGTCTTCTTCCTCAAACTGATATCCTTCACTATCGGTGTTGCTCTTTTCTTCAAATATGAATCCTCCACTTCTGCAACTCAAAACATCTGTCTTCACTCCAGAAGACCAACTGAAGTTATGCACAACTTCAATTTCTTAAGAGTAACACCCTCACTCAACATATCAGCGGGATCCAAATAGCCTTGCTCCTCCAAGCTATTTCCTGGATTACTCTTGTCTCTGCTTACAACTCCCACTGTATGGGTGACCAAAGAAAAATATGTTGAGATTTTCATACCTATTTTATACTGATTTTGATGATATTGCACTTTAAAGAAGGGTATTTTTGATGTTTTATTGCAGGTATGATGAATTATGGTCATTGAAGCAAAAAACTGCAAAAACGGTGCAATTTAGAGCAAAAACGAGCAATAAATGATATTTTGCCATCACATTTCGGTAAGTCTTTGGATGCTTAATCTCTTTTACACTTCTTGCATATTTTTGAATGAGATTATACTTTAAAGGAATGTTGTTTTCATGATTATTTTGTAGGGCTATCTGCTAGGAACGCAACACAACTAAAATGGGGCGAAACGGAGCTAAAACGGAGCCAAACGGTGAAGCTGCGCAGTCTGCCCGCCGACGGCGCCAAAATGGCACCAACATAAAACGGTGCCGACGGCGAAATTTACTCGAGAAGACCGAAAAACGACAGAAAAACTCACCGACAGCGCCCTCGAGCCCGCCGACAGCGCCCGGGACGACTATGGACCGACTTTTGGCTGAAATTCAATGTATTTGGACGCTTTTTGGAAGGGTGCTTGTGACAACTCTTCAAACTTCGTCCCTACACTTTAAAAGAACGAATTTAGGTTAGAAAAAGAGGATTTTTTTAGAGGAATGTTAGGAAAAGTGTGGAGAAAGTTTAGGTTTATTAGAATAGGAGTAGAAATGTAGATTTCTACCCTTTTGGAGAGATTGGAGAGGAGATTTTGAGAGAATTTGTAAGGATATGTTCTAGCATTGCATGGATCGATGGGAGACTTTATGGGAGAGATATTCGTCTTTCTTTCAAAGGGAAAAAGCTAAGTATTGTGTTCTTCATTATCTTTTGAATTTTGT